GCAATGGTGTGATCTCTGCTCACTGCAACCTCCACCTCCCAGGCTCAAGCAATTCTCCTGCCTCAGCCTCTTGAGTAGCTGGGATTACAGGCACCCACCACCACGCCCGGCTAATTTTTGTATTTTTAATAGAAACCAGTTTCACCATGTTGGCCAGGCTGGTCTCACACTCCTGATCTCAAATGATCCGCCTGCCTTGGCCTCCCAAATGTTGGGATTACAGGTGTGAGCCACCATGCCCTGCCAGAATGATGTCTTTTTTAAGATGAGTATTATTTATTGGCAGCTACAGAAAGAATTGTCAAAGTACCCGTGACCATTTGGACACAATCTGAAAACAAGTTTATAATTTACTCAAAGGTCAAAAAGATGGCTTATCCAGAGAGAAGTGGTAAAACTTTGAACTATTCTGAAGACCCAGAATCTTGTTGAATGGTACCACTGCCATTAGCCATAGGCCTAACCATGCACTCCAAAACTACATGCTCAAGTAGCATATGAACATAAATCATCCATTCCAGGCAGCTTTAGGGTCTAGGAGGTTTTCAAAGCCTTTTATTATCTAACAGTAAACCCCATGGTGCATTTGGTGATGTTTCTCATTACACTTGACTTAGGTAAACGGTTCAAAGGCCCTGTGGGAAATGGTTTCTTCTAAATACTTCTGTTTCGTTCTGGAAATAGCACAAATAAAAGAAAATCTCACAGATATTTAAATAGTTACTCAAGGCAGGAAAGCAAAATCTTAGAAAAGTCAGATTATTTTTACGTTGTACCAAAATAAAGGGTTGAAACATTTTTTTAAAAATCCAATCAGGTATTTGGCCCTCTGCAGAAAAAAAAAAAAAAAGATGAAATGATGTGAATGATTCAAATTTTTCCTTTTCTTTAATGTGAAATTCAGTCTATTCCCAGATCAGTTTGGGCTTCCTTTTTAGCTGCTCTGTCCAACCAATTCAGGGAAATTCTAGAAACTTCTGCACAGAAATGGGTGCAGGCCTGATGGAGACTGAGATTCAAATGCCCTGCAGCTGCACTCCAAGTCAAGTTCTCAAACAAAATTCCTTTTCATTAGTGTAACTGGGAAAATATGTAAAACTCATGAGTCCCTAAGATTCTTTTGGCGTATTTCCCTGAACAATTCCCAATACTTTTCATTTTGTCAGGCAAAGCAAATAAAGTGATGTGTAGGTGTAAATACCATGCGATGTGTAGTTGATGAAACGCAGATGATTCTGACTGAATAAGAAATCCTAAGGTTTGAAGAATGGCTTTTTAAAAGACTTAATCTGTTCTGCATTTGAGTTATTAATAATAGAAGATTTTTTAAAATCTCATTGTTTTATATTTTAATCCCATTGGTGATATATTTAAATCATATTTCTATATAAATTCAAATATATAATAACAAATATATTGTTATTTAGTTTTATTTAAAAATTACTTGGGTATTTGAATTCTTCTAAAGCATGGAAAAAGATTTATAGTGTTCAGAAAAAAGGACAAAAATGGTATTTATAGCATGATCTCAAAGTGTAAAAAGATGAATGTATAAATAAAATATTGACTTCTGAGAGACTTAGCTATCCCCTTTTTACTTTTCTTTATGTTAAATTTTTTACAATAAGCTAATATTATTTTCAGAATTAGAAAAGACTTATAGAAAAAGGAAATAATTCTCCATTTAAAGGAGGGGTCATTTATCTTTTTAAAGAAGTTGCAACAGTGCATATAATGGTTTGATAATGTCACTTCCCCCTAACGCTTGACCTGGTCAAATGTAAAAACATGAAGGTGATTTTTATTTCAAATTAACTTTTCACTTTAGATTACAAATGTTGCTTTAAGTCAGCGCTGCTTTTTGCTGTTTGTTTGTATTTTTTAAAGATCTATGCTGCTCAGACTGGTCTTGAACTCCTGGCCTCAAGTGATCCACCCACCTCAGCCTCCCGAGTAACTGGAATATAGGCACAACCCACCATGCCAGGCCCACTTTAGACTATAGATAAAATATTTGCCTGTGGTCTGAACTGATCTCAATCATTCAGCTATTAAAGGATTAGCTACTGATGACAGTTTACAGCCCTAAAAAATATATCATTTGTTGTGTTGGGGAGAAGGAGCTGTTCATTCTTCCCTTATAGAATCCAGTACGGCTATTTCCTAAAACTCTTCAAGCTCTGTCACGAATGCATACATATATCATAATCTTACAAGCACGGTTATTTTTTCCCAATATAGTTAAAAAAAAAAAGAAGCCATTTAATTTTGTTCCTTCAAAGGTCTTTGTTAGGTAAAGAAACTTCTATCAGAATTTCAGAAAAAGAATTGTTGATCCTTTGGTGTTTACTCTGTTCTTGAAAATTCATGTTTAATCTTCTTTTTTATTTACAACATGGCAGGCCAATTTCAGCTCAATTATACATATTAATGCTAGCAAAGAGCCAATGTGGAGAAATGTTCTACTGGCCATGGACCGCATTGGCTGCAACCCCAGGCAGCCGTGCTAGCTAGCATTCTCCAGCATGAGGCTGGAGGCCCAGCTTTGTTTACAAGTAAGGAGCCTGACAACAATACCATCACAGATTTGTTTTAGAAGTATCAGTTTTGTGTTCCAAGGTAAGGTCAGGGCCATCCATGTCTGGATTTCTGATTTTATTGACAAGCCTCAAATGGAATAAAGCAGAGGGACTGGATAAGAAAATCTGCTGCAGGATTATTCCTTCATAAACAGACAACACATCCCACCAAGTTTTCCTTAAGTGTTCCTATCTAGACAGGGTGAGAAAACCTGCAAACCCACCTACCAAGATCACCTGAGGCCTGGAAGAAGGGAACCAGTTCCACAAATCAAATGCTGTGTAAAGGTCTTGTCATGGCCAAGAGTTTGTTTATTCATTGTAAACAAATATGCATCAAGCATACTGCCATAAAAGCAACCCTGACTAAACTGTGCCCCATACTCGGAGACCCCAGAGCCAATCTAACCAGAGGCAGCTCCTTGCAGGGTTTGGGCCCAGAGGGTGCCTGCAGGTGGAGCCAACCCCTCCCCTCAGCAAGGAACTTTCCCACACTCGATTATGGGGACATTAAGTTTGGGGTTCTAGGATGGAAAGGGCCTCAGGAATCTAACTGCAGTGAGCCTGGAAGCCTGAGGGAGAAGGGTGAAGACACAGGCAACCAAGGTGTGCAGCAAAGGATGAATTCCTTACAACGCCAACTGCTGAGGGATTCTGAGATGCCCTGGCTGTCTGTCCCTCTTACAAAAATATCTACAGAAGCTGGGCAGGATGGCTCACACCTGTAACCCCAGCACTTTGGGAGGAGGAGGCGGGCGGTTCCTCCTGACCAGCTGAGGCCAGGAGTTCAAGGCCAGCCTGGCTAACATGGCGAAACCCCATCTCTATAAAAATACAAAAAAAGAGAGCCAGGCATGGAGGTGCACGCCTGGAATCCCAGCTACTCAGGAAACTGAGGCACAAGAATTGCTTGAACTCAGGGGGTGGAGGTTGCAGTGAGCCAAGATCACAGCAGTGCACTCCAGCCTGGGTGACTTTGTCTCCAAAAAAAGAAAAGAAAAGAAAAGCTACACAAAGAGAAGGAGAAAGAGGAGAGGAAAGTGGGAAAGGAGGCGGGAAAAGGGATTTGAAGAAATCACTGTATCATTAAAGAGGTGATATTGTTTTGGATGATATTGTTGCTTTATTTGTAGTTATAAATAATTGAATTCACCTCTGGAGATTTTTCCTAAGCAGATAATTAAGCAGATGCACAAATCCACATGCCCAAGGTTGTTAATTCTAGCAGTTTAAAATGGCAAAAATTGGGAACACTTTAATTGCCTATCAATAGAAAATTGGTCAAATAAGTTGTGGAACATCCCTATTCTATGTTCAAATTATTTTTCTGCATCAACGCCCTTGAACGATTAGAAACACTCAGTACTACCCGTGGCTGAGCCAGGGCAGCACTTATTGATGGAACTAGAGGTACCAGAAGATGTGTAAGATGGGATCTCCACCCTCATCCTGGGCATTTTTGCTACTCCCCCAGCCCCTGCTTCCCCAACACGTTTAAGAATCTGGGATGTGGCCAGGTGCGGTGACTCATCCCTGTAATCCTAGAACTTTGAGGGGCCAAGGCAGGTGGATCACTTGAGGTCAGGAGTTCGAGATAAGCCTGGTCAACATGGTGAAACCCCATCTCGACTAAATATACAAAAATTAGCTGGGCATGGTGGCGCATGCCTGTAATCCCAGCTACTCGGGAGGCTGAAGCAGAAGAATCGCTTGAACCCGGGAGGCAGAGGTTGCAGTGAGCCGAGATCATGCCACTGCACTCCAGCCTCGGCAACAGAGCGAGACTCCGTCTCAAAAAAAAAAAAAAAAAAGAATCTGGGATGTGAGTGATAGAATGTTATGTTGTCATGAAAAATGGTAACATAGCTCAATATTCACTCACATGGAGCTCAGTATGCCACATATGCTCGAATAATCAGGTTGCTTACAGAATAGCATGCGAGTGTGATCTCATGGCTGAGACTCTAGCAGCATCACAACAGTCCTTGCAGGCCAATAGTTGTTTCCTCTGAGTGCTTGGGTTTGGGAGGTTTTACTTTTTTACTTCTGTTTTCTGAATTTTTAGAATATTTTTACAATGAAACTACATTGTTTTTATAATCAGAAAAAGAAATAAAGAAAAAAGCACTTATATTAATAATTAAATATGTAAAAACAAATTACCTAGGAGTCAATTCCGGTTACAAGAAATGTCTCTGCCTGACAAACAGGTTTTTGTGCCTGAAGCCTTGGCCTATACATCATAAGCAATAGTCACTGAAATGAAATTTCAAGGCAACAAAGGAATTTATATGGTCTCACGATGTTCCCTCAGGTCACATTGAATAAATATTTGAAATCCCTTGCTTTCTATCATCTTTTCAGCTAGTGAATGTACTTCTTTTTTTAAAAAGAAGAGGAAAAAAGCAAACACTCCTTTTCATAAAAACTATGAATTTGTCTTTTATAAAATAACCAACACAAGTGAAAATGGCTCAACACTAGTTCTGAAATGCAGAAGAAGGCAAATAATGAGCTTTTGTAATGTGAATAGTAAGATCAAGGATATTATCAGTAAGATCAAGGATATTAACAGGAAAACATGTTTCATACGATTACCTGTACCTTTTCCATTAAAATATTTCAAGCAGAATGCACAAAACAAACTGCTGAGTTCAAAATATTTTACTTTCAATTCCTATCTTGATTTTTATAATGAAAAATGAAATTAAAAAAGCCAAGGGGGAGCAGGGGTAATAACAACATAATATGAGAAACAAAAGATAAAGCACTGCAACTTGTTTGACTTTGTATTTTGTAGAGTCGACTAATTTGCTCTGCACTGAAAATAAAAACTTACCTCACACCAAATAAAGAAATGCCAGATGAAATGGACAAAATGTCAAACGTGAGAATAGGATGGATTGAGGGGCACAAGGACAAGGGTACAGGGAAGAGTTTTGTAAAGATGTCTGCTTGGTCAAGTGGATGTTACATGGTGTCTTACCCAGCAACTAAGACGTATTTCCCATCTGCTTGATTCTTTAACCTTTCTAGCACGGACAAACGTACTTTGGCTTTGCTTTTGCCATAGATTTCAATTTCATCTGCAAGCAATCCAATCTCCTTGGCAAGGACATCCACAGCTTTTGGAGTTTGTCCTCTTGAAATCTCAATGTCACTGAGGGGAAAGACAACACAAAAGAGAGAAGAGGCTTCTCAGCTTAGGTGGTCGTAACTGGAGTGAGAACAGCCTCACATCACGCCAACAATGAAATCAATGCAATTGCTTTGGGGTCCTTTCTCCCAGGCAGTAATAAGCACAACTGCTAACAATTAATGTGTATGAGAAAATGGTGCCTCATGGTAGAAATGCAACTCCAAAAAACTCACAAAGATTTTAAACTTGTGTCCAGGTGGAAGTATAACACCTATGGCATACAGAGAAGAACTGTGTATTATAATGTGTCCAAAGCCCTCCTGCAAGTGTGATTCCACTACAGAGCAAATGCTGTGTGGGCATCACGGTATTCATTAGCCATGAATAGAGGGCCATTGCATAATAATCTCCGACTGGGCTGGCCACATGTTTCTCTTGGCTATTCAAAAATGTGAACACTACTATCACATTAGAGATTAAGTACAAAAAAAAAGAAAAAATGTGGAAATGCTATTTTGTTTTATCTGTGTCCACACTTCCCCTCTCTCTATTTACAGTCTAAAACCATATTTCAATATATTTTATTAATTACATAACTGTCGGTACAAGGACCTAGTGCCCTGAGCCCAAGTTCAGACAGGAAATTGTAGGAACTCCAGAGTATCACTGGGCACCTAACTGAACTCTTCTATTTTACTGGCCACCACTGCTTGTCTTACAGGAGTGGTCTGGATACCAGCATGTGTAATGCTGGACTCTTCAGGAGGAGCCCCCTCTGGGGCTCATGTACTCAGTCATTTCCTTGCTGGGGAGTCAGGCCCTTCACGTGTCTGAGAGTGAGAGACGGAAGGCACACCTGTTGCCTCAGCAGCAAGACTAACCCAGGGAGACCACGCAGCAGGGAACTGCCCTTAAAGGTTGCATCAGAGAGGACAGCTATTCCTTCACTTACCCCGGGACACTTATTTTTGTTGTGATCTGCTTTCTTTCGGTGGGCAGATCAACCCCCTCAGTGGACTTTAGTCAGCCCCTTGGCCCTGTTTCTGTAGCTACAGCGGGCAATCTACCCTCAGTGTTCAGACCACCCTAGACTCTCCTCCAGGATCCTGTGGGGGCCTGACCTGGGGTAAGAGGTAACAGCAAACACACCTCCACCCAGATTTCTCCAAAGGGCACCACAGAAACTAGGAGTTCAGGTAATCCCCCCACGGGCCACTGAGTATCCCTTTCCAGGCCTCCACCCATCCAACCTTTCCTTTCTAGCCTCCTACTTTGTTTTGCCTTCCTGGCCATAACTTTTTTTCTGTCTCTCTCTTCCCACAATCTCCTAAATTGAAGAGCTTAATCTTGAAAAATGTGTAAGCTTTTGGCAGGCCGCAGTGGCTCACACCTATAATCCCAGCACTTTGGGAGGCCAAGGCGGGAGGATCACTTGAGTCCATGAGTTTGAGACCAGCCTGGCCAACACAGTAAAATCCCATCTCTACTAAAAATACAAATAAATTAGTCAGGTGTGGTGGTCGCACCTGTAGTCTCAGCTACTCGGGAGGCTGAGGCAGGATAATCACTTGAGCCCAGGAGGCGGAGGTTGAGGTGAGCTGAGATCACACTACTGCACTCCAGCCTGGGCGACAGAGGGAGACTCTGTCTCAAAAAACAAACAAACGAACGAAAACAAAACAGGCCGGGCATGGTGGCTCATGCCTGTAAGCCCAGTACTTTGGGAGCACAGGAGGGCAGATCACTTGAGATCAGGAGTTCGAGACCAGCCTGGCCAACATGGTGAAACCCTGTCTCTACTAAAAATACAAAAATTAGCCAGATGTCCTCGCTTGAACCCAGGAGGTGAAGGTTACGGTGAGCAGAGATCAAGCCACTGCACTCCAGCCTGGGCAACAGAGCAAGGCTCTGTCTTAAAAACAAACCAAACCAAACACCTGTAAGGTTTCCTTTTTACTAAAGGGTCATAGAGACACCATCGCGATTTTTTGGGTGATTTATAAACTACTCAGCCTGCTTCTCTTTGCCCAGTGGGTCTAGAAATCAATGAGTTCAAAGTAAATTCTTCTTGGGGGAGAAAAGGGTTAAATTATTCAACCAAATTACTGGCTAAACAAGAAGAATTTACTTCGAAACTTTGGTACACAATTTGGTGAAATCTATCTTAATCTTTTTTACCACTTTGTAGGTAGAAATTATTGATTTGCTTTCAAAATCTAAGGTCTTATAACAACATAAATAACTCTAAAATAAGATATTTTATGAAACAGATTGCACAAGCCCAGGGATGATATTACAGAAATAACATTCCTCATTGCAACTTACATAATTAATGAATAGAGAACATAACTGAGATGTTTCGTCTATTGCAGGGATGAAAACATGTCCAAGAGGGTCACACCCTCCTGGTGGGTAGAATTGAACCAGGGTGTTCATCTGACTGCCCAAGGAAATGGAGTTCAATTCTATAAAGCAACTGGTTATCAGGCAAAAAATGAGTCAGGCTCGGTGCGGTGGCTCATGCCTGTAATCCCAGCACTTTGGTAGGCCGAGGTGGGTGGAATACCTGAGGTCAGGAGTTCAAGACCAGAGCAAGACTCTGTCTCAAAAAAAAAAATAAAAAGAGTCAGTTACCAGAGGGATTTTATCTCCTCTGCACTCTGTGCATTCCAACATTGCTAGATGAGATTACCTGGGGATGCACACCTGGCACTATGCACACCTGGATAATGGGGCTGGGGCCAATTTCTTGGAGTATGACAGACACAGATGACTCATCATCAGGCTGGAAAATGTGGCTGTCTGTTTCAGATGTCATCCCTACCCAATCCTTCTAAAACACATGCTGAGACTATGACCTACAGTTTATATTTCCAAATTTACAGATAAAATATGTAGCTTAGACTTCATCAAAGAGCACTCTGAGGAAAATACCCACCTAGACGAACACAGACTATCCTATCAGATTGTTCTGAAGAAAGCTGAGCTCAGTTGCCACGTGGAATGTTTGGTTTGGGTGATCATTTATCCCCAGAGTAGAAACCTACATGGCCCTTAAGACCAGGCGGATATATATGCGTTGGGCATTTCTGACACAGAAAAGCATATTCCAAATATTACATTACCATATTTTATCAGATTTAAAACCATGACTTCATGGACCATTAAGAAGAAAAAACACTGCCAGGCCAGGCATGGTGGCTCACGCCTGTAATCCCAACACTTTTGGAGACTGAGGTGGGCAGATCACCTGAGGTCAGGAGTTTGAGACCGGCCTGGCCAAAATGGCGAAACCCCTGTCTCTACTAAAAATACAAAAATTAGCTGGGTGTGGTGGCGTGCACCTGTAATCGCAGCTACCCGATCAGGAGGCTGAGGCAGGAGAATCGCTTGAACCTGGGAGGTGGAGGTTGCAGTTAGCCAAGATTGTGCCACTGCACTCCAGCCTGGGCAACAGAGCAAGACTCCATCTCAAAAAAAAAAAAAAGAAAAAGAAAAAAACCCACTGCCATTAAATATAGGAAACATCATTGAAATTAAATTAGTTAATATAAATTAGTTTTAAAACATCATTAAAAAACTGCCATTTAATATAGAAAATATGGAAATTTTAAAAATATGCCTTTTTAGAACTGACAGAACACAGTAATACATTCATTAGATTTAATTTTGGAGAATTTACAATAGAGAAAATAGGGTGGCAATTTAATGAATAGAGAAAATTATCTACTATCAAAACCACAGTAGCATGAGTTGTGCTTCTCTCCCATGACTAACTGGGTCTAAGGCACTGTGCTGAGCTGCCATCAGTATAAATAAATCACCAGTGTTACCTTGGCACAGGGGAGAGAGGCTGAAGTTTCAAGCAGTGAAGTCTCCACCGCCTGTGCTGCTGTTCACGAAGCCATCTCCTTCCACTACTGACCATATTCTTCACAGGGAGAGAGAGGAAAACATGTTAGAATTGTAAAAGCTGACAGGGCACGCACTTAAACCATGGAAATACTGTTTGTGGATGTTACAAAACAAGATTATCCAGTTGTACAATAAGCCAAGGGGATATTAGGAATATTTTTATTCACTTGTAACTAGGTTTGTAGGTTTTTCTTAAAAAGGAAAATGTGAAAACCTGCATGCCTAGTTAGAATATACAACTATTCAATACCGTACTGAAGAGTTTGATAGTATTAAAAGAAGCTGCTTTGTTTCTTAAATATGAACGCATGAACTGGATGATCCAGCTTAATTCTGTAGTTCCCTTGCAGGCTATTAGCTCTTCATACTTACAGCAATGAATCTGAGAATGTTTTTTACAATGTACGTTCAGGGTTATATCAAGTCACAGGCCAGAACTTCTGACTATGTTCATTGTTTTTGTTAAATTTAAAAAAGAAAAACAGGAAAATGTGAGAAAATACACTATTAAAAAATCCAGGTGTGGTGACATGCACCTATAATCCCAGCTACTTGGGAGGCTGAGGTGGGAGGATTGTTTGAGCCCAGAAGTTTGAGGCTCCAGTGAGTCAAGACCACACCACTGCACTTCATCCTAGCTGAGATTCTGTCTCTTTAAAAATAAATGAATAAAGAGGCCAGGTGAGGTGGCTAATGCCTGTAATCCCAGCACTTTGGGAGGCCGAGGTGGGCAGATCTTGAGGTCAGGAATTCAAGACCAGCTTGGGCAACATGGTGAAACCCTGTCTCTATTAAAAATACAGAAATTGGCCGGGTGCGGTGGCTCACGCCTGTAATCCCAGCACTTTGGGAGGCCGAGACAGGCGGATAACAAGGTCAGGAGATCAAGACCACGGTGAAACCCCGTCTCTACTAAAAATACAAAAATTAGTCTGGCATGGTGGCGGGCGCCTGTAATCCCAGCTACTCAGGAGGCTTGAACCTGGGAGGTGCAGGCTGCAGTGAACTGAGATCGTGCCACTGCATTCCAGCCTGGGTGACACCTGTCTCAATAAAATAAATAAATCAATGAATGAATAAATAAATAAAATAGATTAAGTGTTCACAAAAGACATCATGTACATGGATAAACTTATACTGAATAGGTTCGTCATCTGATTTAGAAAAGAAAACTGAAGAAAATACAAGACTGCATGAATGATCAGCTTGATGCTCAGCTTCCAAATACCATCCTTCTGTAGTTGGTATAAAAGAACAAGCAAATTGAATTACTGAATAGTGCTATGTATGCATATAAATTATAAGTAAATGAAATAAAAATAAAAACAAAATTTGGCTTTGATGGAAATGTAATTTATAATCCTTACAAAAATGTATAATGACCCATTTTGAGGTAAAGAGTTTCAGTTGTGTATTACCCTGTACAGAAGAAAGATATGAACTAAATGTCACTGCCAGAGGCCACCGTTACTGCAGGCTCCAGCACTATGAGAACACTCAGCTTACATGGTGGAACACTGGTGACCTTCGCCTTTAGGTCACACAGGTGGTGATGGTTTGAAAATGCCTACAAATACTTTAATACTCCTGTCTTGAAGAGGTGAGGACAATTCTCCTTCTCTTGAATATGAACCGGACTTAGTGATATACTTCTAACAAACAGGATAAAAGGAAGTGGCGGCACATGATGTCAGAGCCTAGGTCATCCATACTGCAAGACTCCTTCTGGTTCCCTCCCCTGGATTGCTCATACTGGGGGAAGTTAGCTGCCACACTGTGAGCAGCCCTACAGAGAGGTGGACATGATGAGGAAGCAAGGCATCTGCTGGTGGCCAGCGAGGAATGAAATACACATGCCCACAGCCATGTGAGTATGCCATCCTGGAAACAGATCCTCCAGCCCCAGTCAACCCCTCAGATGATTGTAGCCCCAGCTGACATCTTCACTTCAAATGCATGAGAGATCCTGAGCCCAAACCATCTGATATAGTTTGGATGTGTGCCCCTGCCCAAATCTCATCTTGAAATATAATCCTCAATGTTAGACGTGGGGCCTGGTGGGAGGTGATGGGATCACAGGGGCTGGTTTCTCATGATGGTTTAGCATCATCCCCCTTGGTAGCATCCTTGTGATAATGAGTGAGTTCTCATGAGATCTGGTCATTTAAAAGTATGTAGCACCACCCCCTTACTCCCTGTTCCTGTTCACACCTTGTGAGATGCCTGCTTTCCCTTCACCTTCTGCCATTATTGGAAGCTTGGAGAGGCCTCTCCAGAAGCAGATGCCTGTGTTATGCTTCCTGTAAGGCCTGCAGAACTGTGAGCCAGGTCAGGTGCGGTGGCTCATGCCTGTAATCCCAGCACTTTGGGAGGCTGAGGCGGGTAGATCACACAAGGCCAGGAGTTTGAGACCAGCCTGGCCAACATGGTGAAACCCTGTCTCTACTAAAAATACAAAAAATTAGCTTGGTGTGATGGTG